AAGTAGTAAACTGCTTGATCTGGCAATTGGCTTTTGTCTATCCTCGTTGTTACTAAGATAAAGCCATCTTTCTCACTCTGGAAACAGCCGAAATTCCCAGGTGATGCAACCTGAAGTATACCAGCTCTTAGGTAATTGCACCTAGAGGAATTCAAGGCCAAGCAACTCAATCACATCTTTTCTAATTGTGGTATGTTGAAGTAATTAAGCCAGGAGAAGAATTGGGGGAGCCAACAACTTCACTGGACAGGTTCACATGCAATGGAAACAGAAGAAACAGAAATCTGAGTCACCTAAAGTCTTAACAGTCATTGTTCAAATTTCCTTCTCATTTACTTGTCCATATCTCCTCCACGAGTGGATAGCTTTGAGAACCACATGGAAAGAACATCCTAAGTGACTTCTATAGGTAGTTTATAAAGCTTGGACTTTTTTCATTTTCTTACTTTTTATTTTCTGATAAGACAGTAAATCATGTGTATACTATACAAAGAAATGAGAACAATTGAGACGTTAATTACCAAACTTCAATATCGTTTCAAGAGGTATCATGTAGATCTCCCTATAAAGATTGATAATCCCACCTACTTCTGAGAAACATATAAAGTATCTTCAAAATGTAGCAATATTAAGATGACTATCTCCTTTAAGAGGATTACTGCTGGTCATTCAGACAACTATAAAAAGAGTACTAAAGTACTTTCAGCTCCTATTTTCTACAGATGTAACACCCCATGCCCACGGGATGGCCCAATAACTTTTTGAGCTGAAACCACGAATTCAAAATGGTTAACAAAAAGTTATTAGTAACCCAACGGGCCGGACGTTATAATCCCTTTCATTTTCCTTCTCCATCCTAATGTCGGACAGACATGTGTTAGCTTCTTTGCTCTTTGTTTTGTTTGGTGGCTTTCATGCTCACATGCAGCACATGCAATCCTTTGGCTCCTTTCATTTGTGGTCTTCTCAGAGTGTGGTGCCTTAGCTGTATTGAATACAAAGAAGGAACTAATATATATAAAGGTTTGTGTTGTCTATGCTAATTTTTTGTGTTTGCATATAATGACCACCCCAGATGAGATTTTCTTATGGAGTTAAGTATCTCTAATCAGACATGAAGTATAGTTACAAAGTCAGAAGAATCTGGAGCTGGAAAGTGAAAAATATTTGGAGGATAAAACAAACAAAAATGCCCTTTAGGCCCACCAATTGAAGAACAATTTTTAAGGCTTTAAACACTTGTTCATATCTGTAATGAAGCTATATTAAAGAAAGCCAATCCTAGAAGATGAAGTTTCACTTGATTATTAGGGTTTCTAGTTGATAGAGGTAATTTGTACCTGAAAATGTTTTGCTGCAGTAAACACCAAAGAGAAAGAACGTGATGAACCCACAATTAGGGTTTTTTTTAATATTTTTGAAAGCAACCCGTAATTAAGGCTATATAGGATTAATTAGTGCACCATATTATTTGCCACATGATTGTTAATTAGTTGTAACTTTTTACCAAAAAAAAAAAAAAAAAGAGGGAGGATATTAAGCTTGTGATACAAATTACAATAATGTATTCTCAATTTCCACTTGTTGCAATTTAAGCTAAACCTCTATATTCGACCCTTTGGTAGTAGAATAGTAGTTAAAAAAACAACAAATAAAGTGCAGCAACACTATTATTCTACTCATTGCTTGGGATTAACATGCTACGATCAATTGCATAATTTGCTTTAAAAGTAAAAATCCAACTATCACATAATGTAAAAGTGCTGAAAAATAAGTGATCTAATAAAAAAAAATTAATTCTAAGCCTTTTTAGTTATAAATTTTATATGGTACAAAGTGATATTATTCATATTATCCACTTTCATCAAACATTTGGATACCTCACAGGCTATAAAGGCCAATGGGAAAATCGAGTCAACCATTTTTTTTTCTTCATGGAATGTTGCAAAACAACCTAGGATTATCTTTTCACGGTTTATTTATTGATTTATTTTTCTCTTGGAAGATGGGAGGTAGAGGCTAAAACAGACAAGGGCTTCTTAAATTGGCACATCAAATCACTGTACCAAAAAAGGGGACAGAGTTTTATTAAGCTTTTATGTGCCGTTCTTGTCATGCTGTACCAAATGGATCTTTGAATTGAAGGCTTTCATACTGCGATGTTCAATTTTACACCATAGCCGACACTTCCAATGACTCTATGCGTCTTCTTGGTTGGTGGCATTAAAGTAATCAGTGTAACGGACGAGTTCACCTACAAAAAGCGAGTTGAAAATTCTCGCTACGTGTTGAAGTGATAAGCAAAAACATAAAAATCTTTGAAATCAATGAGATGATCATCTTTATCTTTATTTTTATCGTATTAACTCGTCTGTCACATAGAGTAGCATTTTCCATAATGGAAATGGATACTAGTCAATTGTTTGGCATGCTAGCAATTGTTTTTAGTAACAAGACGAGTGCTAGGGGTAATCTCATGTTCTTTTTCTGTACAGTGAATTGTTGAAGAATTTTTTTTTTTTCTACTTTTAGAATTACTACCAAAAGTTCTTCTAGGATTGATGAGATTTTTTGTGGTTCAAGTAAGAATCTAAAAGGGAGTATTTGAAAAGTTTACCAGAGTCTTATAAATAAATTACCAAACTAATGTCTTTATCAACCAATGATTTAGACTTGAGAGCTCAGTTTGAGGAATACTTCCAATCCATATATAGATTGACATTTGATATTTTGGAAAAGAAGGAAATATTCAATACTCAAAAATATTTTACAAACTTACTTCCCGTATAGTATTTTCTATTTTTTTTTTTTGGCTTTGCGACTTGTACAAATATGTGTCCTTTCTAGGGGCTTTGATAAACAATCTTCACATTTTGTTGCAAGGGGGATGATAAATACTTCTGCGGTGAACGTAAAAATGGTTGTGTTTAGAAACTAAACAAAAATTTTCCTATCTTTTTATGAATTAGTAAACTTGCACCACTCCTATTGGAAATTTTTCCTAAAATTTAACTGTTGTCATTGCATTAAAAAGAAATTCAGTTAGGTTTTTCCAACGAGAACTTTCCACAAAATATAAAAAGAGAAAAAAAATAACTCCATCTGAATGTCATCTGAATTACCAAATTTCTATATAAAAATAGAGGAAAAAAGTTCAAGATAGTGAAAGGGTTTGTTAAAGATTGACACGACAAGACATAGAGATTATGGGTTTAAATTCTCTTCTTCTCCTCGTTTCTTAAATCACATCTCTCGCTGCTCGAAAAAAATGGAATGGTACCAAGAATCTAATAAAAGGGGAATAAGATTTAGAGGAGAACAATGGTATAAAGTGAAAGCGTGATTCTTTCTTTTGGATCTTTATCCAAAAAAGTGATCATCCTTCTGGAAATCAATATAACACCAGCATCCAAAAGAATGTCCATCCCTAGTTCAGCTCAAAGAATCTCCTAAAAAGGCCTTCATCGATTCTTTTCAGCTAAAGGTGTTTTGGACTGTTCAATTTTTTGCCCAAATAGTTCAAACTTTAATTCTAGTTCTCAATGTTCAAAAAGTGCCATTTCCATCAGAAAAAGAACCGACCATTTCTCTCTCTTCGCAAAAAAGGGAACAGAAAAGGAAAAAGAACATTGGATGGAAAATTGTGCCTGACTGGACGGTTACTAAAATAGGTGGGCCTTTTAATTTGATCCAATTCACCCTAGTTAAGAGATGGGTCAACCTGATAACTTGGGTAGACTAATTTGGGCCCAGCCCGTTAGTCCCTTCCAATTTTTTAAATTTTAGAGAAACAGCAAAATATTTCTTTTGTGCATATTGAGGAAAAATATTTGAAGATAAACCACCGTTTAGCATTGAAACAAGTTGAATCCCTTGTAACAATCACATGTCCGACCACTATTGTATACAAAATATCACAAAAATGTCAAATGCCATTCTAATACTAAATAGTAAGTTTAAGCACTAATAATGTAATAAAAAAACCTATGGACTAAATAACATCACATGAGTCATTTAAAAAATAAAAGAAGAAGGAAACGATGTAAAACTCTACCAAACTCATTTCTATCTGTGTTCCAACTCTCTCTCTCCAAAAGAAAACCTAAGAACCAAACTTCAACAAACATTCAAGTTGGGCATGGTGTGATCCAACATATGTCGAAGACATCAATTTCTAATTCCCGGTTCGTCAAGAAGCATGCATGCAATAGATTCTACTTTCAAAAGGCTAGAATCAAGACAATGAAGACTGATCTTGATAATTGTGTTCTTCTAGTTGCTTTGGTTCTTGGTGGCAATCAATTGACTCATGTGAGTCCTTAAACTTAATACTTAGTATTAGAATGGCATTTGACATTTTTTATACAATAGTGGGCGGACATGTGACTGTCACATGACTTTTTCCGGTAGCAATTTGGGAAAAAATCATCAAGGGTACTAAATGTGTTCAAAATTTGAAAGTTTGGGCACCGGATTTGTTATCATCCAAATTTTGGGACTAAAACCGCTCATATGTCAAAGTTTTGATACCAAAACTACATTTTTCTTGATGGAAAATTGTGCTTTACTGGATAGTTACTAAAATAGTTGGGCATTTTAGTTTGATCCAATTCACCCTAGTTCAGAAATGGGTCAACCTGATAACTTGGGTGGACTAATTTGGGCCTAGTTAGAGGAACAACAAAATATTTCTTTTGTGCATATTGAGGAAAAATATTTGAAGATAAACCATCGTTTAGCATTGAAACAAGTTGAAGCCCTTCATTAGAAATAACAGATTGACTATATTACATGTCCAATGTCTTTGATCCAGTGTCTAAAAATTGAGAGTTCAAAATTTAGAGATTTTGAATTCAAATTCTCCTTTTCCTCCGTCCTCCTAAAATCTCAATTATATATATATATATATATTAGATATCATCATCCATAATTTTCACTAAATATTTACTCTAATTGCCTTCAGTGATATAATTTTTTTATTAGACCATTTTATGTACTCCTTAAATATAAAGTTCTAGTTTATACAAACGATTCAAGAGTTTTGACACATAAAAAGTATCTTAAAATTTACAAGTTCTCGTTGAACACGTGACAAGGATTTATAATACACTTGCTCCTGCAGAGATTCTGTTACACTAATCCTACTTATAAGATTAAATCTGAAGGTACCAAACACCAATATGGTTTAGCGACAAACACAATCCCCTATAGGAAGTAAAATCATCTTACGTTGAATTTTATGCTGGGGTGTGATGGCATTGTTCCCTTATGCAGCAAACACAGATACGCGTCTTTGGCGTCTCATCAACCACAGAGAGAGTGCAGCACTCGTTGATCTAGCATATCTCAAGGGGGCAAATTGAAATGGCAATCCAGAAACCTGACCATTAAAATCAATCACATTAATTTACTTTAATTCAAACTTGGATTAACTTTTAACCAACTGCAAAAGGTTAACAGTTTAGACACCAAGGAGTTTTGATCCAATTTGTATGTTTTATTTTAACCATAGGCAACTGGTAATTGTAAATCTAGATAGATGACAGAAATCACATTGCAAGTACATCAGAATTTGATCATACAAGATCAGAAGCCATCCCAAGTAGAGCGAACAAATTTACTTCGCTACTAATCGGTTCAAGTCTCTTGTTGTTCTTGTCTCTTAGCAATCCAATTCCCCTACAGAATCCCATCCATCCCACTGTTTTCATTCCTTTTTGCTACAAAGTGACTGCTACTAACCTTCTCAAATACATGGTCAAAGATAGAAAATTGCAGAGATATACTCCTAAATCTTCTTTCAAAACCTGCATCATATGAAAGGCAGCTTTCTTCAGCTCTGAAAGAAGGGGTGATTTCATTTAGTTGGACTACAGACCAACTAACCATTCCACCATGTACCAACATTCCATCAACAAAAATTAACAAATTGTGCACCAGAGTTAGATAGGCAAACAAATCAGTACAAGACAAAAACATAACTGAGATTTGTCTGTGAGATTAATCACCTATGATTTTCAATGTTCTGTACTACCTTACAGATGACCAGCAGGAAGAATATCATATAGCTTGACAAAAATATGTCCTCAAGGCACAATACAATTAACATTACAGGAAAAGGCTTGATGGCAAAAGGTGTAAATAAGTTCATAGAGTTAAAAAATTTAGGACAAAATAAAAGGCATCCGTGCAAGTATACTAGTCAGTCAGGCAATCAAATTGTACGAGATGAAGGTGAAGGCAATGAGTACACTTGTTTCTGGATCAATAAGAAAATAATCAAATTTCAAGTAGTAAACTGCTTGATCTGGCAATTGGCTTTTGTCTATCCTCGTTGTTACTAAGATAAAGCCATCTTTCTCACTCTGGAAACAGCCGAAATTCCCAGGTGATGCAACCTGAAGTATACCAGCTCTTAGGTAATTGCACCTAGAGGAATTCAAGGCCAAGCAACTCAATCACATCTTTTCTAATTGTGGTATGTTGAAGTAATTAAGCCAGGAGAAGAATTGGGGGAGCCAACAACTTCACTGGACAGGTTCACATGCAATGGAAACAGAAGAAACAGAAATCTGAGTCACCTAAAGTCTTAACAGTCATTGTTCAAATTTCCTTCTCATTTACTTGTCCATATCTCCTCCACGAGTGGATAGCTTTGAGAACCACATGGAAAGAACATCCTAAGTGACTTCTATAGGTAGTTTATAAAGCTTGGACTTTTTTCATTTTCTTACTTTTTATTTTCTGATAAGACAGTAAATCATGTGTATACTATACAAAGAAATGAGAACAATTGAGACGTTAATTACCAAACTTCAATATCGTTTCAAGAGGTATCATGTAGATCTCCCTATAAAGATTGATAATCCCACCTACTTCTGAGAAACATATAAAGTATCTTCAAAATGTAGCAATATTAAGATGACTATCTCCTTTAAGAGGATTACTGCTGGTCATTCAGACAACTATAAAAAGAGTACTAAAGTACTTTCAGCTCCTATTTTCTACAGATGTAACACCCCATGCCCACGGGATGGCCCAATAACTTTTTGAGCTGAAACCACGAATTCAAAATGGTTAACAAAAAGTTATTAGTAACCCAACGGGCCGGACGTTATAATCCCTTTCATTTTCCTTCTCCATCCTAATGTCGGACAGACGTACAGGCTTTGCGAGGATGCAAAGTCCTTAGGTGGGGGTGAGTGTGATACCCCATACATCCATCCCGCGTCGGGATGGAGAAGGAAAAGGAAAGGAAATAATGTCCGCCCCGTTGGGTTACTAATAACTTTGGGTTAACCACTCTGAGCTCGTGGTTTCAGCTCAAAAAGTTATTGGGCCAGCCCGTGGGCGCAGGGTGTTACAACAGATCTACTTGATTCATATAAACAAATAATTAACAGCATTAGCTTGAGGAAGCAAAAGAGAGGCACTGCTATAGAAGAACAGAAGATAACCAACTTTTCAAAACGTTCACAATGCACCAACTTTTTATCTTTCCTAAGCTAAATAAAAGGTGACCCTATGAAGTGAAACAACAGAAAAGCAGTATTTCCAAGTAAAACAAGATGTCATTATTATAAACGCATGCTTAAAGTATGCCATTGTACACCTACTGGATGCTGATGCATCCTCTATCAACAGTGTCAAGTTAAATGAAATTTCTGTAATCTTACTGAGGATGTGTGCAAGATGCAGTCTGCCATTGTACACCTACTGGATGCTGATGCATCCTCTATCAACAGTGTCAAGTTAAATGAAATTTCTGTAATCTTACTGAGGATGTGTGCAAGATGCAGTCTTGTGGCCCTTTTTCATATTTTTACGAGCATCTTCCTGGGATGTCTATTTGGAGGTAGCCTTGTCCTACTTTTAGAAACTTCCCTGAAAAAGCAAAGCTAGTTAACACACAAAGTTTATTTTGAAGAATCTAGTTGTAATGCTGCTAAAAGTAAATCAAGACTTTGTTTAATGAAGATCAAATGTATGACACAGACTGAACAGTAGCAGTTACTCAAAACCTAAGTTCTCTTAAATTTGAAGGTACTATCTACGACCACAACTTTAAGTTCTGAAAACCATAAGGAAGGTTGTGTAACAAAATTATTGCTTTAAATAGCAGAAAGAAGTATTTGATGAAACAAGATGGCCTAAAGTTGCAAGCAATTCCAAAGTTATAGCTAGAGAGCCAGATAATTATTTGTGACAGACATTCCTAGATTCCACTTGATGAGAATAATCTAATGTCCTGAGCTCCACTTCCCTTTTTTTTTTTTAATTATCAGACAGCTTTATTTGGAATGAAAGTAAACATCTAATGAAGTAAGAGCCCAGAAGCAAACGCACAGATGCTATGCTCCATTGACACTGCCTATCTATACTTACAATATAGATTGAAAGATCATGCTGTTTAAATGCAGCGTTGCATGCCTCCACCATACAAAATCATATGGACAACAATACTGAAGACTAGTATCAGATTTCCGGACTAGATGCCATACTGATACCTTCAGAAAATTAATTTCACATATGGATAACATACTGATACTTTCAGAAGCCATCTAATGACGAAGTAAGAGCCCAGAAGCAAATGCACGGATGCTATGCTCCATTGACACTGCCTACCTATACTTACAATATAGATTGAAAGATCATGCTGTTTAAATGCAGCGTTGCATGCCTCCACCATACAAAATCATATGGATAACAATAATGAAGACAAGTTTCAGATTTCCAGGACTAGATGCCATACTGATACTTTCAGAAAATTAATTTCCCGCAATTGTCAATTGGGATTTACAGCCTATGTGTTGAATCTCCATTATAATGACACAAAAATTATGGTATAAACTAATAAAGGTAGATGCTGTTGAAGGAAATGTACCAGTGAGAAACAATGTCTCATTCCTCTTCTTAAACTGCAGAGTCAAAACGAACAAGGAGATCATCATTTCCCACACTTTCTTGTTCTTGTTTAATTTGCATAACTGACCTAACAGCATCATAGGAACCGTATACATCAATTATCTGGAGATAAGGAATTTCAGCAAAATCAAGAGGAACTTCTCTAAGGCAGCGGCAGCGAAAAAGGCGAAGGTGCTTAAGACTAGGAAATTGAGTACTGGTTGCTCTCCAATGGACAAGATCTGTCTTATCAATAAGCAAATACTTTAGCTGGGAAAACCCCTCTTCATATTGTTCCCAGTCTGATCCTACAAATGCATTATTTTTCAGTTTGAGCACTTCAAGATTAGGCAACATAGAAAGAACATTCATATCTTTCCATGGTAGGTAGCTGGAACTTAGAGTCAACTTCTTCAGGTTTGGTGGAAATTCATCCACACAGGGAACCCATTGTCTTTCTTCAGCAAATAAGTTTATAAAGTTCAGTTTTAATATTTCAAGTTGATGTAGTTGAGCAACATTACTGATATAGGACCAGCAGTTGCTCTGAATGGGGTAAACTGAACTAATCAAGTTACCAGATGGGAAGACACGATCAAGCCAAAGTTTTTCAGTTACGTGTGCTTCTGCAGTTTCATATAATCCCAACTTCTTTAGATTTGGAAGGCTAGCAATTACTTGCATGGTACAACTTGAGAAGCTCAATTTGGAGAGTGTTTGTAGGTTCCGCAGGACTAAATCGCCTTGTCCATTAATTTCTGCCCCTGCAGGATTGGGCAGAAAACTGCAGAAATTGAAATGGAGATGCCTTAGCTGCTGCATTGTCCACAGTTTCCATGGTAATGTCGTGCATCCAGAATAAATGTTAAGAACCAGAGTTTGCAAATTCCAAAGGTGGGATATAGTTGATGGAAGCTCAGTGACTGATAACGCAAGGAATCTCAAGTTACCAAGTTGTAGAATCTCAACAGGGAAACAATTTAATGCAGAGCGGATGATGTCCAACACTTTGAGCAGCTTGAATGCAGAGTGCCTGAAACAGGAGTACATTGAAAAACGACTAAAGCACAGAACAGAATCTATGTGAGTGGTAGAAAGAATGGGGAAGCTACAATCCATATGGAAACTGAGACGTTGCGCATTGGTTTTGCCTTCATGAAAAACATGGCTGTTGTGATTAACCACGTGCATGAAATTTTCTTTCTCAGCTTCCCTCAAGCACAAGTCCCGCAATATATCATGGATGATACATGTTTTTATTCTGCCATAGGACACTCTCCTGACCAGAATTAAGTTTCTATCGATGAGATCCATCAAACATTCTTCAGCTATCTCTTCCAAGCTTTTCCCTGTCACTTGCTTTAGAAACCCCTCAGCAACCCATAAGTAAATCAGTCTTGACACTGGGATTTCACGATCTTCAGGGAAGGCTCCAAAATAAAGGAAGCATGCTTTCAAAGGAGGAGGTAATTGGTTGTAACTCAATGCAATTATGTCTAAACACTGTTGTGGGTCTCCAGTTACATACGAAGCCACACTATCCGCAAAATTATCCCAGCAATCTCGTGTCCTGTCAATTTTTAGGAGATACCCTGCAACCACAACAATTGCCAGAGGTAGTCCTTGACATTTTGCTGCAATTTCTTTTCCAACTTCCTCCAGCTCTTGGGGGCATCTTTCATCAACAAACAACTTCTGATGCAGTAATTTCCAACTGTCAACTGGGTCTAAAAGCTTGATGTGATGAGGTTTTTCATGGTTAGCATGAACAGCCACCTCCTTGAGCCGGCTAGTTAATATGATTCTACTTCCATTGTTATCATCTGGAAAAATGCTTTTTACAGCATCCCATGCCTCAGTACACCAAATATCATCCAAAACAATTAGATACCTCCTGCCCTTTAAACTTTTGTATAGATGCTCAGCTAAGTCTGCATTATTCATCTCATTATCATTACCAAGCTGGCAAAGATCTTGCAAAAGTATTCTGATTTGAAAGTCTTGAGAAACAGTTACCCACAAACGAACATGAAAGTGAAGTACAATAGAAGGATCCTCATAAAGTCTTCTAGCTAGAGTTGTCTTTCCTACGCCTCCCATCCCTACTATGGGGATCGTTTCCAGTCTCAAAGGTGACTGAGTGAGTCGATCTTTAACTATTTGCAAGTCATTATTAAGACCCACAACATGGTTTTCCATGTATACACGGCGAGATAAACCGCCAAGCACAGGTTCTCCAGCTTGTAAATCTGCGCTGGCAGCATTCTTTCTTTTTTGACTAATTTTATTGAGTTTTTTCAGTATAAAATCAACTTTCTCTGTTAATTTTCGCAAACTCCGGCGAAGGATCCTCCGAGCCTTTTTCCAACTTTTTGCACTTTTGGCTGCATAAACATTTAACAGTTTTGAATCAATGACTTTTCTTGCTTTATAGAACACATCTCTGATCTCCAGTTCCAAATGTTTCATGCTTCCACGATCATATCTCTTCTCAGATTCCTCCAGAAAGCCTCGCAGAAGATTGACTTTGTCGTGGAGAAACTCAACTTGTTCCTTGTAATGAAGGATGGGATGTGGATCGGATTGCAGTAGAAACTCAAGGTTTTCAAGAAGAGCAGTTATATCTGCATAAGCCATTTCTACTTCTTTCTCTCTGTCTCTTTCGTTTTTTTATAGTGGTAGAATGTATTTAAGCAAACGTAATAGTTGAATATAGACCTGCGCCCAGTTTTTGGTACCAAATTCTGTCATTTAAACCAATAATTACCTCTGAATCTACAACAATGGAAAAATTCAAGGTAACATGGTTAAAAGAGAAGGAAAGACAACCAGAAAATACTTTTGCTTCTTTGCAGAAACATGAATTGAATTTCAGCCTCAGTTTTTGGTATATGAATCAAACATATGATTACCTCTTGAATCTTTAGCAACAGCAAGAATACAAGAAAAGGAAATATGGTTAAACAGAGAAAGAAAAACAACCAGAAAATACTTTTGCTTCTTTGCAGAAACATGAACTGAATTTCAGCCAAATTCGAAATGCAAGTATATGGTAAAACAAGAAATAAAACCAATCAAGACTAATAAATCGAGGCAGTAGCATTTCAATTTCTGACAGATTTCTAATGTAACATTAGATCACTAGCAGACGAAAAGCAGAAAAGAGGAAACATAACTCATCCTTTAAAAACAAGAATACCTTTTTTTTTAGCTAAAAACAACATTACATGTTTGTGCCTATGGATATGCAAGCTACTGAATGTGTCAGGGTCACAATGTTGATGTGGATACTAATTTGGGAACTGTCGTTATTTCACCCCAAAAAGGAGAAGAAAAAAAAAGTCCACTTTGAATCTTATTCTTTTCTTCAATGGTACAACCCTTTCCTTGCCAAAGCCAAATCTCTCTTCCAGTTAATCAAGATGCTTAATATTTATTCTTAGTAATCTTAATATATTTCTTTTCCCAAATCACTTAAAAAGTACTGTCAAGGACAGCTGAAATTAAAATTCTTAACCTAGTTAATTGACAACTAGGTTCCTGAAACTTAACAGTTCCTTTATGAGATGAGACTTTCCTTACATCAAATCTGACACATCTAGCATATAACTGCATGTATATTCTACTTAGCTGGTATCCTGAGAAAGTCTCTCTCTTCCTTTCTAAAGAAAGTTACAAAAAAAAAATTAAGTTCCCTGAGGCTGCTAGTTAGTTCTCATTGACTGACTTCAAACCATATATTTCCTTTTTCCAATGCTGAAATATTCTACAGCGTAGCAAGTTAAGGTCTTTCATTTCCCCTTTAGAAAACAAAATATGATGAATCAGGCTCGAGTATAACACTCCTTTTCTTTCCACTTGCATGTAAAATTGATAGAGTTCAATCTCAGATGGCAGCTCTTTTATTTGTTATTGTAACACAGAAATATAATATACAGCCCACAGAAGTTGCAAATCTACAAAAACCATTCTTGCCTTCATCAATTTTGACCTTTATGCCCAAAGAATTCTTCGCCTTAGATGTGGGGCTCAAAACCTTAACCAATTTTGAGTTTTGAAAGCAATTAAGAAAATCCTGGCAAATTGGGTGAATTCAAGTGGCAGACTTTCTTGAACAATTCAGATTTCCTGAGTTGCATATCAAAATTCTTATTGACCCGGTAAGGGTTCGAGATGGGAGGCAACAACTCACCCTCATTCAAGGTCTGGCTATGCCCTGTTCCGGCCTATGAACATAAAATACAGATCTGTTTTGTGTAGTTCTTGAAGAACACAAGTAACTACTGGAAATTAAAAGGAAAATGTGCCATCCTCATCTCTCTCTCCTCATCCATGAATGACATTTAATTGTATTAACTGTAGTTGATTTGCAATGATTTAAGTTTGAATTATGACAACCCTTTTTCTGGATTTATCTTACTAAGTCCGAGTAGTCACACAAAATCAACAGAGTAGCTTGACCCTATAATTTTTTTTTTAAGAAAAAAAAAAGAAAGATAATAATAACAAAAACAAGATTAAATTGAAAGCTAGTATAGTACAAAAATACTTACAAGAGGGATTATCTTTTGCTAGATCAGGAAATCTGGATTGCAGTTTTGTAGCAGCAGAAGTTCAGCTACAGATGATCGTATGCCTTATTGTAGGATGCTTGTTCCCTTCCACGTTATTTTATCATTAACAGAGTATCAAACTTCTTCCACTAGTGAAACTGTCATTGCTTTTCTTTAAAAATAAAATAAAATAAAATAAAAACCCCACAAAAAAAAAAAAAAAAAAAAACCGCAGGCCCGTAGCCGTTGGCATTGGATATGTGAAAGATGCGCACTTATTTCCACGTTCACTGTATTAAGGCCGGTGCTAAATGTTTGACTCATTGATATACCTGTCATTACTCGTTACCATCTCTTAGTTTATTACACCTGGGGAAAACGAACAACATGGCTGGTTGGTAAAGACAGAAAAAGTTAATCAAATCACGTTGCAGAAGACATTTTACCTAGGAAAGGGATGTTATGAACGAGTACAAGGGATGGAAAGTGTAAACACTTTGAAATCTAAGCAACAAAATGTTGTTTGTATGCGTTAGTAGACTTGTTCGTTTTTTGAGATAAAACTTATTACTTCATCTATAAAAAGAGAACTTATCCATTTACCAACCTTTTTACATTGTTATATCGGTCAATGGTATCTTTGAGTTTTGGTTTATAAACAGGCAGGGAAAGTGATTTGCTATATCTGTCATTCGTTTGGTGCGACTATACTTGCGTCGAAGAAACCGTTTAAAAAGTCACTCACATCTTATAAAATAATTGTTTTCATTCTTTATTTTTAAAAATATAACTTCACGTCCGTTATAAATTCATATTAGTCAAATTTAGTTCCTAATTAGATTTTCAATTGATTTTTAGATGGAATTCACCATGTATCTTGTATGTGATCATTTTTTAGGGTAAAATGTCAAATCGCATTTCACATAATCTGATTTATAATCCCTAACATTTTACAAAATAATTTTTTTCATCCCTCATTAATCACATGTACAAATAGTTTTTCTTATTTTTGAAAACTTATGCATATATTTATTTGATTTCACCTGAATAGTACAAATAGTATGTAATATATCTCTATTTAATTTTACCTGAACAAGCTAATTATAATTGTAGGTGAAATCAAATATAGATATAGATATATTACATGCTATTCATATTGTTTAAGTAAAATTAAATAGATATATATATGGGTTTAAAAAAAACTATTTGTATAAATTATTAATGAAGGATGAAAAAATTCATTTTATGAAATGTAAATGATTATGGATTGGATTATGTGAAATTTGATTTGATAATTTTTTCCCTCAAAAATAATCACGTGCAAGTTACGTAGTAGATCCCGACAAAAAACTAATTGAAAACTTAGGTAAGAACCAAACTTGACCAATATAAATTTGTAAGGGACATCAAATTACATTTTTAAATGCAAGGAATAAAAAAAATCATTTTATAAAATATAAGAAACGTTTTTTACGATTTTCCCTCCATTTAATTCTAAAGAAGTCTCAATATGGAATATTCTTCAAATTGGTTCGGACAACTTGTCACCAATTATATTTATTATCTTGTAAGAGCTATGATGTGGACCAAGTACAAATTTGTTCGAATAACCTGTATTGACCCTGATTTCTTTATGATCTAATTCGCAATCCAAATAGCTTGATGTAAGAATTAAGATGTGGATTTTGAAGCTTATACGTCGTTGACATTATATGATTGGTTAAAACCTACTTGATCTGTCTTTGTAGTGTTGCGGTTATGTTTATCTGAACTACTTTTTTCCTGCAGATTTCTTACTTTTTTTTTTTTTTTTAATTCACGCACCCTTTTAATTCCTTTCAATAATGACACTATCGTGTGTAGTAAGGGTGTTAGACTAGTGTTCATTGTATTGAGGCCAGTACTAAATTTTGACTCAACACAAAAGGTTCAAGAGTTGTTTCGAAAAGGCTCAACCAATAGCTATTTTGCAAAAGTTTCATGGATTTTAGGCAGGTACTCGTTAAGTTTCATTGAAAGTGTCACAAAAATCATTAAAAGTATCATGTTTTGTCATTAAAAATATCATACTTTTCATTTTAGAATATTTCAAAATATTTGTCATTCTATCAAAAGTCAAATATTCCCACTTTTATCTATATTTAATACTAAATTTAAATTTAAAATTTGAATTTTAAAGTACAACATTGAAAATAAATTTACTAATATCACTATGAAGTCACTATTTTTAAGAGGTTGAAATTTCAAAATGTGATAAACTACTTGTGATGGATGGTGTATTTTATTTGCGAGTGGAGTACCCACACTACCAACCGTACATGAAACGGAAACCGCACAAGCTCCCAGCCCATTTTACTTTACAAGTTCTTAATTCATCTTTCAAAACACAAAACAACTCTTTCAGAACATCCTAGCTTAGCAGTGTCTTAAAAATCGGATTGGACCAGTCGGTTCGACTGATTGAATCTTGAACTAGCCATGCCGTTGATCCGATTCAATTGAATTGAATTGCCTAAAAATCAATTGAATTGATTAATAATCGGTTGAACCGGTAAAAATGAAAAAGTTCTATCAATTTTTATTAAATTTTTGTTTTATAAAATAAATATTTTAGTTTTATTCAAAATTTTAATGCTAAAATAAATAAAAAATTATTAAATCTTTAAACCGGAGTTGAACCAATTGAATTGATCAACCTCGAATTGGAAAGTTTTTCGATTCAGTCTCTACTTCGAGTTTAGAAACATTGTAGCTCAGTTCAGTTCATGACCATATATTTAAATCTTTAGACCATTAGCGACAACGATGATCACTTTCCTGGAACACGACACAAAGGCTTATTTTGTTACCGGTTCGTTGTACATGGCAACCTACGTCTCCACCTTGTGAATTTTGTAATGCAAATTGCTTAATCAGGTTTTGACTTGGAATTTGAAAAATTTTTCTTTCCGCTACAATGTGGGCAAAGATATAAAATTATGTAAACCATCTCGGGAAAATGATGGAAATAGTCCCTCACATATCTTGTATATAGCTTTTTGGTCCCTCATTTTAAAATGTTGTAAATTCATCCTTCACATAGACAAAATGTATCATGTTAGTCCTTATATCCATTTTAGGTCACTTTTCCCAATAAATGCCCATGCCACCATGAAATAATAGTTTTAGGAGTACAAAAGATATTAGGCGCCATTCTCCCTCAAATACACACGCCTAGTAAAACTAATAATTACAAAAATTTCAAATTTTTTTAAAAAAAAAATCTAGAGGACTTGTAAAATGAGATAATTCTAAATTCCGATAAAGAAATTTAACCAAAAAAGGAAATAATACTTTTAAAAGGGTAAAAAAAAAGTGAGCAAATACAAGTTTTAGTAAAAAGAAAAAGGCAAGAACTACAGAAAAAATATGACAAATATATTTAAAAAATATGACAAATGACACATAGAGAACTCAAAAAAGGAGGAGGAGGAGAAGATATAGCCAATGTGATTAAAAAAATAAAAAGAAATTAAGAAACAAATGAAATATTCCTTAGGTCATGATTCGAAGTTCAGAGTTCAAATACATTATAATAGATTGAGATTCTAAAATTTTTTAATATTTTGGACAAAAATGGATGCAATACCCTTTGACCCGTGAAATTACTGTTTCATGCAAGCATCTGACATTTTTTTGGTCAAAAGGACCTAGAAATGGGTGTAAGGACCAAAATGGTGCACTTTCTTTCTGCACGCAAAGAAGAATGTTGTTTCATTTTAAAAACGAGAGATAAAAAAAGGTACACGTACAATGTGTGAGGACTATTTATGCAATTTTTCCAACTATATTTCATACTTCTTACTATTTTTTTTTTTTGGGTTGACCTAGAGGTTTAAGCCTTTCCCTGGCAGCCTAACTCGCAGCTGGGCTGAGCTGAATTGGTTTCATACTGCTGATCAATCTATGAACCAGAAAAACAGCTTCACTTGTAAAGCCCCTGGCAGTTTCTCTAATTAGAAAAGGGATAGAAGCAGACATAATTTAGGCCATTAAACAATTCGTCCTCTTCATCCTGTACAAAAGCCGGTCCAGAAGTAAACTTCACAATGCTGCAGTACTATCTAAGGAATATGCAGGTTCCTGTGCAAAGACCTGATTATTTGTTGGTCGAGACTGTGCCACCAGTGGCAGAGGGTGGTACTTATGATGTGGTGGAGACAATGCAGTTTTTGTATGTCAATGTTGTGAAGGCAAAGGATCTTCCGGGGACGGAGATATCAGGAAGTCTTGATCCATATGTGGAAGTGGAGGTTGGGAGTGATAAAGGGATCGTTACAAAGAACGTAAAGAAGAACCAAAATCCCGTATGGGAAAGCGTTATTGCTTTCTCCAAGGAAAGACTGCAGTCCAATTTGATTGAAGTAACTGTCAGAGACAAATATACTGACCTAGAGGGAAATTTTGTAGGAAGGGTATCATTCGACGTAACGAAAGTTCCTCTTAGATGTCAGCCAGAAAGTCCAATAGCTCCTCAGTGGTATAAATTGGAGGATGAAGACAGTCAAAGGATCAAAACGGGGGAGATTATGCTTGCGGTTTGGATGGGAACGCAAGCGGATGAGGCCTTTACTGAGGCATGGCACTCCGATGCTCAGAGCTTTAGCAGATGGAGTCAAGTTGATACACGGTCAAAAGTTTATTTTTCGCCAAATTTATATTACCTGCGTATTCATGTTATCGAGGCTAAAGATCTTATATCCTCTGAAATAGGTAGGCAACCGGCTGCATATGTGAAGGTAGATGTTGAGAGTGAAAGCGGTAAAACAGAGCCATCAAAAGAGAGAACCAATAGTCCAGTATGGAATTCTGAAATGATGTTTGTAGTGTCTGACCTTTCTGATGGATGCATATTTATAGCGGTTGAGGACAAGGTTGGACCAGGCAAGGAAGAGGTAATTGGAAGGCTAGTGATACCTGTTAGAGAAGTTCCACGTAGAGGGGAAAACAATAAGCTTCCTGATGCTCGATGGTTCAACCTCCAAAATCGTTCGGTGACTGAAGGAGAAGGAAAGACGAAGAAGGAAAAGGTAAAGTTTTGCAGCAGAATATGCCTTTCCATCTGTATAGATGCTGGTTACCATGTTGCGGATGAGCCGGTTGAATTTAGCAGCGATTTTCAGCCTTCTGCAGAACATTTGAGAAGGTCTAGCATCGGCTTTCTGGAATTGGGGATTTTGAGTGCTCAAAATCTGCTACCAGTGAAGATGAATAATGATGGTATAAGTACACGAACTGATGCTTATTGTGTGGCCAAGTATGGTAACAAGTGGGTAAAGACAAGGACAATTCTTGATACTCCGACACCTCATTGGAATGAAAAGTATACTTGGGAAGTATACGACCCTTGTACTGTGATTACAATTGGTGTTTTTGACAATTGCCAGATCAGTGGATGCAAAGAGAATGTGAAAGATCAAGGGATTGGTAGGGTGAGAATTCGGCTTTCAACCTTGGTAATGGGTAAGATTTATGCATATCGTTATCCTTTACTCGTTGTTGGACCCCGTGGTTTCAGGAAGCAAGGGGAACTACATTTGGCAATTCGATTCACTTGCACAGCTTGGAGGAACATGGTGACACAATACTGTCGGCCTCTGTTGCCCAAGATGCATTTTCTTGAACCCATAACTGCAAGGCAACTTGACAGGATGCAGTATCAAGCAGTAAAGATTGTGGCTGAGGTGCTAGATGGAGAAGAGCCGCCTCTCTGCAAGGAGATAGTGCAATATATGTTGGAGTATTGGAGCGACCGATATATGTCGGACAATTGGATCCTGCCCATGTCTCTTAGGAAAATCAAAGCTAACTTTCATCGCATATCATCACTTCTTTCTGGGATATCAGCTATTTCTCAATGCTTCCATGATATCTGTCACTGGAAAAATCCATTGACAACCATCCTTGTGCATGTATTGTTCTTCATGCAGGTCCGCTATCCACTATCAATCATGCCCAACATTTTCCTCTGCTTTGCTGTCATTGGCTTAAGAAACTATCGATTCAGGCCTAGACATCCACTTCACCTGGATGCTCAGCTTTCTTTGGCTGAAGCTGTTGATGAAGATGAATTGGATGAGGAGGTCGATACTTTCCCAACTTCTCAGCGAGGTGATGGAGCGAGGATGAGATACGACCGCCTGCGGAGTGTTGCAGGTTTGATTTTTCAAACTACAGTGGAAGATGTGGCAATGCAAGGGGAAAAGGCTCTTTCCATAGTAAGTTGGAGGGATCCAAGGGCCACAGTCATATTTATCATATTTGCCTTTTTCTGTTCTCTGGTCTTTTATGTTGCTCCTATGCTAGTAGTTCAGCTCACTGGGCTGTACTTGCTTCGACATCCTTTGTTTCGGAGCAAAGTTCCATCTCCAGCAGTCAATTTCTTCAGTAGATTACCTACCAAATCGGAAATGCTGCTATGAGATGGCAACTTTTTTGCCTGCCAACATATCTGAGTAGAAAAAACCAGAAAGGGAAGCAACTGTTTTCCTACTTTCATATCGATGTCTTCCTTTTTCTTTTTCCCTTCTTCCTTGACCTGTTCCCCGATGGAAAAGGATATTCAATCGGAGTGAGGTGTCATAAGCAGGATAAAGACAATTTTTTTTAAAACACATATATTTGGTGAATCTTAAGCAACTTTCTTCACGGGTCCTCTCTTCAATTTCCTTTTTGCTGCATTTACTAGGGTATGAATTTGAAAACTATAAATTAACAGCTAACTGGATTGACAAAAGTGTACAGAGAAACAATGGAATGAGATGTGTACAGCTTGGTATCTTGAAATTGAATCATTCTGATAAAGGGGAGAGCTTATATGAGTCAAAGAATATGACCATTGTCTTGATTGAGGCCATGAAATTCACAGCATCTACATGTTGTGGCTCCAGATGAACTAGAGTGGTAAGTTGAAGACCCAAAGGGTCCTGCATTCAGAATCAAAGTAAAACGAAAACTGGCAAGAAGTAGCCCTGCAAAACATTGACATCACTTTCAAGCTAAAGTACTATAACTCCAAGGGCCTCACTCTCTCTCTCTCTTGAAATTCTGTTGTACCACTTCAACTACAATGCACCTTTCTTTCATTCAAGGGAAAAAAACGTTACTTCTTTCTTTAATAGTTCGCTCATCATTAATCCTTGTCCCCATCAACCACCCCCTCTGCACCCTGACTTGCCCTTTTTTTAATGGCATTTGCGAGGCAGTCTGCATCCCCTCTTCCTACCTGTCTTATAATCAACACCCAGTCGCCCCCTCCAAAGAGGTGAGAAATTTTTAGGTGATACTGGTCATCTGAGTCTAATCATGCTACAGGGTGTCATTGGAGTCAATGATGATTTGAGGTGAATTAATGATCAAAATCAAACCACCATTAAACTGTGCAGTTTCCAACCACGGGAATAAGATGTAATGGTTAGATGAGTGATTTTTGTCACTGACCCTTCTATATTCAGGCATGTGTAATTAACTGTCCTGGGAAAAGAAAGATGAGTGACAGGTAAAGGCACAGCTGTTTGATATGGCTGAGCTATCAATCCTCTATAACAATTCGCCAGAAAGCATGATCCCAAAAGGAAAAAAAAAAAATCACAGAGGATCCCTATGCCACGATACTTGAAATTCCCAATGGAAACCAAACTTGAAATCAGCAGTTGTAATGGATATTTGCAACCATTTCAGTCCACCTATCATGAAAACCAAGTTCTCAGTGTATCAAACGGTGAATTCCAGATCAAAATGATCACCTAATCTCCCAAATATCCCCAATCCCATTACTCAAGCACATTTTACCCCAGAGCTATCAAATATTAACACAGTACCATACCATCAACCCTGCATTAACCACTTTGTTCTAAATAAAAAACAATCCGAAGAAAATCATTTCAAACAAAACTAACCGTATACCTTCAATGCGGAATAAGAATCTGTGGTTCTATGTATTCAAGTCTCCATCAAGGTTCATATATATTGACACCAGTAGCTTTCATGATTCATACAGATACTTAAGCCAATTGAGACAAATAAAAAGTTACCCTTCAAGTCAACTAATTTCCATTTTTCAGTCCAAAATCTGCCATGAAAAGCCCTTGAACCATAATCATTTCCATAAATAAGGCTATTACTTGGATGCACGTCATTTTTCCAAGCAAATATGTTTAAATTAGGATAGTTACCCAAAACAAATTGACATGGAAATCTAACTGCTACCTGAAAAATTGGGAATGCTGCACTGGGCCATGAAACTGCCTAAGGTAAACAAGCATAGCTAGTGATTTGGTACAAAATTTAGTCATCACAATCAGAAAAGACTCTGTCACAATGCGTTGCGTACCTCATTTTAAACAAGAATCAAATATTTATTACTTAAACCTCCAAACGTCGAAGGCATTTAACAGCTTTCAGTGCAAACCAAGTGGAACAAAGTGATGTCTATAAACATGTTGAACATTGGAAATCATAAAATTAGAAACTTCATTCCAACTATCTATGAGAAGCCACAAATTGGAAAAGAAACACTTCTACCAAGGACATATAACATCAGTAACATTTTTTAAAGAGATTGTGTCTTATAATTGCATTTTTATCATTAATTTCCTTTCATTCCTTTATTTTTTTTATGTTTGTCTTCTCTTTATTAGTAATGCAGATTCCTACTTCTATCTATTTGAAAGAGAAGTGAAAAGAAATAAAAGGTCTTGACTTCGTAGTTTTTTTTTTTAATAAATAATTTTTAAGAACATGATTGAAGAGCTAGAATAAATGCACCAAAGGTAACATGCAGCCCCATTGCCTTTCGCCAATCCATTAAGATTATTTGCTGCATCCATGTACAAGAACTGACAGCTAAAAAAGATCATTCCTGTGCATAGATTTCAAATCCTTTTGACCAGCTACATAAACAACTATTCCTCATCAAAAGACACTTAGCACCAATTTCCTACAAATTGATGAAAAGAAAATGCATAAAGCAATAACTTAAGGACCAAACATTCATGCACTTTCTAGCCACCTAACACAACCCAGGTAAGAACAATGTAGAAATCAGGACCTTAGAATTGTTTGGAAATGCATCAGAGCTGAACCTCAAAAGTATATCCCTCGTTCTTTCAACATCAACAACCAGTGAATGAACCACAGCAGTCACTCTTGGATAAGTGGCTTATATATTTTTGTTAGAGTTTGCAAGCAAAATACAAAATTCCAACAACCCTCAAACAAGAAAGTAATTGGGTTGCTAAGTAGTGTGTACATGAAACCACATGTTCAAGTTTAAGATCTCACCACAAGTACAATAAATAACCATCATGTCTTTTTTGTTTCTTTGGGGGAGAACGGTGCCTTAATTTGTTGCTCAGTAAGATGTACCAGGAAAGTGAGATAGAAGAACAAACACAGCGGGAAGAGAACCAGACTAAACTCATCCTTTAAACTGCCACTCCCTTCGGCACATTGGACAATGGGCTTGAGGAGTCTGTGAGTTGACCCACTTTAAAATGCAATGAAGATGAAATGCATGGTTGCAAGCACCCCAGACTGCAAAAGGAATGTAGCGGTTAGCAAAGCATAACTATCTGTGGTGGCATATTAAAGCAGATACAGGAAAGCCCAAGTCATAGAATCACATATGGAGGTTAAAGAGAAAGAGACAACAGTATTTGTTTATAAGATAGAAACTACAACTCATATCTCATTTATATATCATAACAGCTATTCTGGGAAGAAAACCAATAGGAAAAAATGGCAGAAAACCGTGTTACTTGAATTAGCAGAGTGCTAAATATGAGAAGAATTTACTTAGCCACATTAAAACGACAAAAATTAGAGCAAAAGGAAAGTTCTATCAAGCAAATAGTTGCAGAAACCTGTTATTATACGACACAGAAAGGTATCTTCTTGTAACAAAAAATAAAAGACCAACACCCTGAAAGGTCTAGGATCCACATGTGTAAAATAAGGATCTGCAGAAGCAGTTGATTATTCAGAATCGTTAAAACAGATGTATGTCCAGCTAACGACAAACTTGTTCATCCCAAATTCAAAGCCACAAACTGTCGTTGCAGACTATTCCTAGGTTCTATAAAAAATCTTCGTTTTACTACTTTCTTCCATTTAAGGCAACAGGATTTCAAACTTAAAGGTTATCATGCAAGGACGAGAATCAAAAAACACATGACAAAACATTGGACAATAAAAAGCATTGTATCCGTTTCAAAGTGCAAGATTAATACGAGTTGCACAGATAAGAAGCAATGTTTTCTTAAGAAAAGGAACTGCTAGAAAAACCCATTAAGCAGACAGAGCATTCACCTACAATGAAACAGTAGATAAATGGAAAAGGAACATTATAATGGGAAAAGGTTAGTCAAAGTATCTGTCCAAGACTCACTCAGAGGGCAATCATCCCCGGGAAGTTTACAATCGGGACAACAACCATCAAACGCCATCCGACAAATCCCACACGTCTCATCCTGCGCATCCCATGTCCATGATGCTACAGCATGCCATCTATAGTACACGTTGTTAAAAGCTTATAAATTCCCTACACAGTTTGAATTACAAAAAACTAATAAAAATGTACGAGCGAAAAAAGACCATACTCTGTTCATCGATCCCAGCAGTATATTCGCAAGCAAAGAGGTCAAGGGAAATCTAATGTTCAAACAACACTCCGAGAAAAATTCAACAAAAACATATACTTAAAATCAGCATCTAACCTAAGAAGCGAACAATACATTATGTCCAAAAGATAGGATTCTCCAAAGACCAAGTTGATAACAAGTAATTGAAACACGAAATTGAGGAAATTTAACATCTAGTGATACAAGCAAATCAAGCTAAGTACACTATCAAAATTTACCCATGAATGCAATGCAGATAATTAAACGAGGAATCAGACAGAATTGGAGTGGATTCATAAGCTCTATCCAAAAAACGCAGGTAATAAACCAAGAATTAGACAAAATTAGAGTAGATTCCAAAGCATGTGATTAATTATCAATAATCTCAGTTGAGGCTACCAATCAAATCATTCAAGAAGGAATAAGTAGATGAAATGGAAACATTTTGCAAATCAAATAACACAATTAAATCAAAAAAGGATACGCAGAATCTTGACCTTCATTCTTTTTCTTTGTTTTGCAAAAATCAAAGACGAGAAGAAAAGTTGGGAGATTGGGAGGGCGAAAAGAGGAGGGAAAGTGGATGAAAATGCAAAACCTCCTCCTTCAAAATTCGAGGTTTAAGCTTTTTCTTTTCTTTTTTTTTTCTTTTTCTCTATTTGTGAAATTTGTGCTTTGGTGTGACGGCGTCGTTTAATTTTACAAGCAAAGCAAGAATGGATTCAAGGAAAAATGGTTGAAAACGTCCCTCAAAATTTGCAAAATAACTTTTTCTGTCCCTCATTTTTAAAAGTGTAATTTTACGTTTCTTTTAAATTCACATAAGTTAAATTTGATACCTACCTCGATTTTCGATTAATTTTTTGTCAGAATCCATCATGTGCCTTGCACGTGATAATTTTAAAAGGGCAAAATTATCAAATTAAATTTTATATAATATGATCTATAGTCCCTTATATTTTACAAAATAAATTTTTTCGTCCATCACATTTAACAAAATAAGTTTTTCGTCCTTGCATTTCACAAATTGAATTTTTTTGTTCCTTACATTTAACAAAATGAATTTTTTCATCCCTAATTGATCATATGTATAAATAGTTTTTTTAACCAATGTATATATCTATTTAATTTCACGTTAACGATACAAATATCATGTAATATATCTCTATTTGATTTTGTCTGGCATTTATATCGAATTAATTTTGGACAGAAAAAATAAACAAAGAAAAAGTATGACAAAAGAAGTAAGTGATTGGCATATTCAAATTTTAAAATAATCACAAGGCAAATAATTCAACTATTGGTCTTAAAAGTGATGAATAGAAACTTTAGATTTAAACTGCAATTTGTTAATATGATTACAAATTTAGAGTTAGGAGTTAGAACCCATTAATTAGATGGCTTTATTATACAACTCAATAAATGCATTATTATCAAAAGAGAAAATGCCGCAAATATTGAATAGATTCATATGATGAAATCAAATAGTTATATAAATGAGTAATTGTTGATTTTAAATCCCTTATATATATTGTTAAATAGCATATGTATAATTACAATTAGCTTGTTTAGATGAAATCAAATAACGATATATTACATGATATTTGTACTGTTCAAGTGAAATCAAACACATATATATATGAGTTTAAAAAAATATTAGTACATATTGTCAATGAGAGATAAAAAAAATTTTAATTTGTGAAATATAAGGGATGAAACAATTTATTTTGTGAAATGTGTGAAACTATGAATCGGAATATGTAAAATTTGATTCGACAATTTTACTCCTAAAAAATGATCACATGCTAGGCACGTGGTAAATTCTAACGAAAAACTAGTCAAAAACCTAGATAGGGACTAAAGTTGAACAATGTGAATTTGTAAGGAACGTAAAATTATACTTTTAAAAGTGAGGGATGAAAAAGTTATTTTATAAAATGTGAGGAGAACGATTTTCCCACTCAATAAAAAAAACGACGTCGCACGACGTTTTCTTTCTCTCTAACTCTCTTCTTCAGATTTGCAGATGAGGATTCGCAACACAGATTCGTAGACGCAAAATTTTGATTTTCCATTTCTTGAAATTTTTGCTTGAAGAAATTAAGCTGTAATCATTTTCCCCGGAGCTGTTTTATGCTATTGAAGGTAATTGCATTTAATGAATTTTTCTTAGTAGCTTTAGTTTCATATTAGTGGCTAGCTTCTTATGGCCTCCAAGTTGCTATCATTTGATATAAATTTCCCTTATTTTTCTGGATTTTTTTAAAATTTAGATGGTTACTTTTCTGCTATTTGGTTGTCCTGTTTTCTGTTAGTTGTTGTGAATATTGCAGGTATGACCAACTAAATATCTGATCACAAGTCAGTCAAGTCTTTGCTCTATTTGAATCTTTGAGGGAAAAAAGGTCAAGAAATGAGCTAGGCAATGTTAGATTTTTGAGCCATTGCTGCTTATCATCCCTGTAGTAATCTAAGATAATGGTGTGTAAGAGGCTAATCTTTAAGGGTCTAGTACCACTTTTATGGAGATGATTAGAAGTTTAGATGTTTTAGAGTTTCCTTTCATCCCCTGGGAATCATTCTGCAATAAAGGTATCTTATGTAAGGAGAGTCATTGGTGTGTTTAACAAGCATTGAGTGTTGCTTATGTTATTGATGATTGTAGAACTAAGTCCTGAGATATAGAAAAGGGGCACTAAAAGAATGAACTCTTCAATTCTTTTGAAGTTTGTTTGCTGAACTTGATGGTTTCTCTGTGCTTACAAGGACTACGTCCATCGAGCTTTTCTACAAATCGCTTTTTTCTTAATTTGGATTCTGTTTCTTTTTGCCAATTTTCCCACTTTCCCTGTTGTTACTCTCCTTACTTCAAGAATGAAGCTTGTCAAGGATGCCATTGTAGCAGAGACTGGCAATAGACAGTTATTTCCTCCTTCAAGAGAATGATCGCATATCTGGATTTTGCTCTGTAACGCTGACTATTGACCATAAAAGTGAGTCTTGCTACAGTAGTTTTGGCAACTAAAGATTTTGTTAAGTCATATATCCTGGCTTTTCTATCTTTTACTTCATGATCTTATGATGTTTATGAGTTGACCCTTCTGGTTTTGCTCAGAAAGAGAAAAATAAACAGCCTTTTCTTGTCATGTCTTCCTGCAGATTTGGGTCTTCCTGCAGATTTGGGTTGCCCATCATTATGGAGCCAACAGCGGTTCTGATCTCAAATGTTATTAGCTTTGTACTCCAATAGTACATACTTTCAGATGAAAAAATTCAAAGCCATGTTCATCCTAACCTTAGTCCTTATGTCCTCATTTGACTTCCTTATTTTGGTCTTCTCACTCCGACTTAATCCAAACAGCTCTGATTTATGTGAGAATAAAGTGGACCCTCGGACTCTCCGGCCAGACCAAATGACGGTGGTGATAAGTGGCTACTCAGAGCACAGAATCCCACTCCTCCAATCCATTGCTGCCAGGTATTCAGCAGCTGCATCAGTCTCATCCATCCTAATATTGTGGTGCAATCCTGCTACTCCAACCCAAACCATCTCCCAACTCTCCAAGAACCTATCCCATTACTCTACCGTAAATGCCCCCATTTCTGTCATCCATGAAACCACTGCAAGCTTAAATTCACGATTCTATCCAAGGGAATCAATTGACACCCATGCTGTCCTCATCTGTGACGATGATGTGGAACTTGATTCCAGTTCCATTGACTTTGCATTCAACATTTGGAAATCAAATCCTAATCATTTGATTGGTTTCTTTGCTAGATCACATGCATATGATTTAAATACCAAGTCTTGGATCTACACTATCAGCAGCGACAAGTATTCCATTATACTCACCAAGGCCATGATCATGAAATGGGAATACTTATGGGAATACAGTTGTGGAGGTGGAAAAGTGAATGAAGAGCTGCGGAAAATCGTGGATGCTGAAAGGAATTGTGAGGATATTCTAATGAATTTTGTTGTGGCAGACAAGATAAATGCAGGGCCCATATTAGCAGGAGCTGAGAGAGTGAGGGACTGGGGGGATGCAAGGAATGAAGGCAGGGTGGGGAAGGAGGAGAGGGAGGCTGGGTTGAGCAGCAGGAGAGGGGAGCATAGGAAAAGGAGAGGGGACTGCATCAGAGAGTTCCATAGGGTTCTAGGCAGAATGCCTCTGAGATATAGTTACGGGAAGGTAGTAAAATCAGTCGGTGAGCAAGGGCTTTGTGAGAAGAGTGGCAAGCTGGTGTTTTGTGACCAGCAGGTTTTCAAGTAAATTTGTTTTTTTTTTTTTTGGTGTTTTTCTCTCATATGCAACTGCCATGTGGGTTTCTGTTCTAGTTCGATAGTGCATTAATGTAATTTTGCCTGTAGGTACTTTTCTTACTAATACAGTTGAAAAAGACACACCATACAGAAAAGGGAACATCCTTTTTTATTTTTCTGGAAAACTAGTATCCAGACTTGCATGTTGTTACAAATGGACATTATACCTGAACAAACTAAAATGAAAAGCCGATGTTGATGAAGCTATGCCTTACAGTTACTTGAACAACAACTGTTTCACACAAAACTATGCCAAAGCTGATCATGATTTGGTTTCCTAGTTTCATGTGGATGGCATTTATTTTCTTTCAATGTGAAGTCTAAAGAAGGAAATTGGTGTCTACTTCGGAGTTTCTGTTGATTTGTCTTGCCACTGTAGTTGTTTGACACTACAGCTGCATGGTTAAGTACCCAAGTCAGCCTGAATGTGTAAGTACGGAAAGGCCTCTGGTGGTAATAGGATCTATGACTCAAGGAAGTTCTGATTTTAAGATCCCGGAAGAAGTAGTTGAAATGGAGCAATCTGGCTGGTGGCAGAAGTTAGCGAGTGAAGCACAATTACTCTGTAACTTGAATCACAGGGTTGGAATGCAGTCTCGAGGTGATAAAGTTGGGGCTGGCTGAGTAAGAGGATTAGGACATCGATATTGTATTTACCTGGCCTACCTCTACTGGAAAATAGAAAATGTTTGATGTAAGCAAACAAATTGTCAACTTTATTTCGGTTTATATTGGATGGGCAAAGAGTGCTGGAGGAGTAGTGTTGTTTATGTCTAGCTTTCCACATAGCTGTAATGTTCAAAATTGCTTTGGAAAATTGCATCTACTAGTTTCTGGTACAATTAAGGTTAACTATTTGTTAAGAGAAATGATATTGGCACTTTTCAAAAAACTTCAACCACTCCTTAAACTGTCAAAGAAAAATGAAGTGTTTGAGGATTTTTGAGAAGTGCTAAATATCATTTCTCCCGTTATATATCTCAGAAGCATTTTGGCTTCTGTCTTAACACTTGTTGAGAGAACATTTGCTGGTAGGTGGTCAGTTTTGCAAGAATTAATAGATAATCTTGGATAAGAAAATGGGAATTACATCTGAGAGAAGTAGTGACAAATGCTCACACTACCCCAATTCAGATTATGGTGCTGTTGAAAAGACTCAGGCCCCATGTGCTTGTGACACAAATTCTTGGTATAAACAGACGAAGAGATTGAAATCAGTATGATCTAAAGTTAACTGAGCAAAGTAACCTTATACACTTTCTTTATCTCATTAAAAGTGTTATACTTTTCTTTTCGTATCTGTTTCAAAATTAGTGTCTCTTACTAATTTAGTCAAAAAAATATGTCACCGGAGTTTCAAATTTAACCCTTGTACCTTCTTTGTTAAAATGAAGATTTTATGTCATTTAGGTGGATCCCATGATTTGCTTGTACATATTTATCTAGCTAAGGTAAGGAGCGTGCATCATTTTACAATGAGCAATGAATTGTGTGAACACTAATTCAATTTTTCTACAAGACTCCTATTACAATTCAAATTTTTACCACTACAAACTAGGGATAATATTGGAAAAAGAGCAAAAGTCCAACCTTTTAGATTACGATTAAAAAAAAAGTGCTATTCCTCGAAAGTGTCTAAAATTTTTGGGACTATTGTATTGGGATACTGAGCAATGAGTAGAGTGTCTCTTACCGGATCTGGAATTCTGAAAGAAAGCCAGGATAAACCCCGAACTTGCATGCCTAAGTGGAGTCCTCTTGAAAAAGGTCTCTTCTTGGGTGGTATGGTTGTGAGCTTGTTGACAATGCGGCTCCCCGTCTGGGAACATTTGGGCTTGTTTGAGACCACTTTTGTCACACAAAAGCGTGGATCCACACAATCTGCAGACCCCCGGCTTTGCTGACACTATTTTGGCAAACCTAATGGGGCTTCTCATTGAGTTCTGGGATCAAATTTCCCAGTATGCACCTGGGATATAATTTTCAAACATACTCTATATCATTTTTTTGTTTCATAGTCATTTGAGAGGCAGCAGGATAATATTGGAGTTGCTTCATTTTTGTTTGACTACACTGGTTTCAAAACTTTTTGACTTGTTCAGGCTGCACAAGACAAAGCATAATGTCATATCGATAGTAATAGATTCTCAAGAACTTGATTCATTGTGAGATTCCCTTGTCTAATCATGGTTGGACTTAGCAGAAATGTGACCGTCTATGGTAGAAACTACAGAAAAAATTGTCAGCCTGAAATTTGGATCCATATTACGAGGAAGAAAAAATGATTAGACAGAGTTTTATCCCAAAGATATTCAAGAAAAAATATGTGGATGTTAATTATAATTAAAGGAAGAAAAATAAACAACAACATTAGTTGGTCTAGTACAATGCTTGAAGAATCATTGACATTTCACGTTGCCATCGGTTTCATATCTGTTAAGGGGGCTGGCAGGTCAAATGACACATGTTGCTTTCGCTTTTGTTTACTCCTGCAGCTGTCTTTAATGGAACTATTTGCCAAAGTGCCTTCTGCGTTTTATGACCAATGTTTTAAAACTTGGATCGTTAATTGAATTGATGAGGTGTTCGAATCAAGGTTTAATCGGTCAGATCGATTCAATCCTGGTTCAATGAATTTTTTAAAAAATAATTTTCATAAATATATATGTACAAAAGAGAAGACAGAGAGAGTTGAAAACTAGAAAAAAAGAGTCATGAGAGGATGAGATTTTATAGGAAAAACGGATGAAAGAAAGATGGAGATTTGTTTTATATAAATGTGTTATCAAAAGAGATTAATTGGATGTGAGTGCAATGATTACCATGTTGGATTTTAATAGCAAAGGCCCCAAGTTCAATCCTTGGTAGTTCCATTTTGCAAAACTTTAAAAAATATTGAGAAAAAAATTGAAAAATCGAAAATCACCGGTTCGACCAAGTTTATCGATTTTGAGGAGTTTAATTGGCTATTTGACACTTTCAACTTTGGTATAGAACCAGACCGGTGTCATGATCGGTTGAACAGCTAGCCCGATTAGATTTTCGAAACATTGTTTAAGACTGTAAAATGGGAAGATATGTGAAGAACATCTATCTGTCTACCTAAAATCTCTTTGAAAGTATGATAGATCTTGGTAAGTAGAGTGTAAGTATTTTCTAGAAAAACATAAACTATATGGTCTTAAAATACTCTAAAATTATACTCCCTCCGTCCTATTTGATAGTTTTGTTTTCCTTTTCATCAGTTCCAAATTATAGTCCAACTTCTAATTGAAAAATGTAATTAACTTTTAATTTCTCTAAAATACTCTTATTTAATATATTTTATTATCAGCAAAAATAGTTTATCTTATTTAATATAGTCAATTTTTCCACCCATAATTGCTTTGATATATATCTTGAATGTTGCAATATACTATCATTGTTATTGTCGTAATTAATGCAAAGGTATAGTGTTTAGTGATACTTCTAATATTAATGTAAAGGCATTTTAGAAAAATAATAAACTAGATTTACTTTTCTAACAAAATTAACTAATTTTTCATAAACTGTGTGAGAAAAAAAGCAAGACTATCAAAGTAAAACGAAAGAAGTATATGTAGCATTTTTAGTTTTCTTACCAAACAGATATTGTGTTAATGGTAGGTGGACTAGGGGAATGAAAGGTTGTCATGCATGGTGTAACATTTTTAATTTTTTTGACGGGGTGTAACTCTAAATGATCTACTTGTAAAATTTCATAATAGAGACACAATTATTATGCATGAAACCTACATGAACAATAAAAGAATATCAAACCATGTACAACAGTTCATTAAGAATTACAAAATGTTCAAAAAGTGAATGGTGTCCCTGTCCCACGCCCATAGTAGTAGCTCTTTGTATTGCTAAGCATAAAAAAGAATGGGATAATTTCACATACCTCCCCTACAATTTTTGACAATTGCAGAAAGCTCCCCTCAAGTTCTAAAAATTACACCTATCTCTCCTATTTTCATTGTTTAAGTAACATTCTAGACCACAAAGGCTAGAATTTTCTAAAAAATTGTATAATGCCTTTGGGTTATAATTCACAATAAAATTAAAAAGTAAAAAAAAAATAGTTTACTATCTCTGTTTCATTCATTCTTACTTGCTATCACCATTGCCTACCCATCAACATCCAAATCACCACCAAGTAAATACTTAACTTTGTTCTAATATCCCCTTTTTATCTAAAAATTTTCAGCGCAGAGCATTATATCAACTACAAACACTACATCAAATACCCAAAAGTTTATCTACAATCTTATATCAATATCAAGTTTTGCTTAATACACAGCAATAGTCATCAATATTTCTAAATTTCAATCCATGGTTGCCACCTTTTGAATACAACATAGTTTAAAACAATCACTATTAATATCAATATCCAGTATACTCTATCCGCACAGAGTTCAAAATCAATGAAATTCTCTCTATAGGAATAACATCACTAATAATTGCAAATAAAAAATAGAAACAAAATGTAGTTATAAATATATCAAAAACACTTTTTTTCATAACAACCACAATAGTATAATATTTATTTAGTTCCTATTAAATTAAGTTACAATTATTAATGTAATATTCATAAAAAATGTAATGATCTAATATACTATATGAATATTATGAAGGAAAGAAGTGTAATAGTTGAAGAAAAGATACCATGTGTAGTTTGATGTAAAATCATAGCAAGAACTGATGAACATTGGATAGCAGTGGAGTTGTCATTAGTAGCCATAGTTTGTAAAGTGACCCATATATAAATGCATTTGTTAACATGTATTAATTAAAATGTAAATGAAAAAATTACTTCTATTGTTAACATAAATTATGTTATGTGCAAAGATTAGAAAAACTGAAGAGAAGTATTTTTAGATTGGAAATTTTTTTAATTAATGAATGATAATATGTGTATTTAATAGTAAGATTTGAGGAAATTTAACCTTAATTTGGTAATGTTTATGATAGTAGTTGGTAATGTTTTATGTTTGAGAAATTATTTAGTGGGTGAAATTGATGTACAACGTGAAGCATGTATGGAAAAGTTAAGAGTTATGAGTCACTATATTTTTTATGGTATGTAATTAAACATTTAGAATAGTGAAAAAGATTTTTGATTATGTTATATATTGATCCGAACAAATAGGCAATTTTGGTAGTAGAAGCGACAATATATTTATGTTAACCAATGCTATTAGATAAGATTGTAGTGATTCGAAGAAAGGTTATCTTTTATAGCATCAAGATAAGATTGTAGTGATTTGAAGAAATATTGTAGTTTATAACCTCACAATTGCAGCTTAGTGTTGAGTTTGGAATGAATCATATTATATTGTATTAATCCAATCATTTTATGTTATATTCATCCTTACATATAAGAAATTTTGGTAGTAGGAACGGATAGTAATTCCACAATAGAGTTTTATCTTTTATAACTTCATCACTATAGCTTTAGTGCTATCTGATTAAAATTAAATCAACTAAAAAGTAAGAACTAATGCAAGATAAAGAGTAAGAACTAATATGAAACTAAGAAGTAAGAACATATGAGTTATGACGTAGTAACTTATTAGGTTGGTCAATGACCCAAATAATAAAAAACAAACATAACAAGCATGAAAGATAAAATAGCATAGAAATGGTATGGTATTTGAACAGCAGTAATAATTCACCTATGGAAATTAAGAGTCAATATTGTTATTGATATCTCAATTTTGAATAACTTAGATTAAATAACAAACCCCTTTCCCCAGAAGCCAAATTTTGCGAAGAATACACCATTGCAACTAAACAAATCTTGAGTGTGAAACAAAGGGTCCAGATATCTT